GATTGGCAGCAGATGTTAGCTCAGGGCTAATCTTCCTCAAACAAATAGATAAAATAGATAAATAAATAAATAAAGTGTAACTTTTCCCCCACTTATTTGAGATCCCACCTTTATCACATGCTAAATTTCTGTATTCTTTAAGGTTTATTTGTGGACTTTTTGTTCTATTGTTTAGACCATCTATTCATGTGCCAGTATCACGGTTTTAATTACAGAGGCTTTATACAGATTGTTCTTTTTCAAAAATATGTCTTACTAAATGCTCTCTACCCAAGGGTGAGCATGTAATACTTTTTTGCCTTAATATTGGTCAGCTGTTAACTATTCAATGTCCTCTTGGTGCTGATAGCAATAAATAGGCAGAACTGATGAAGCTGAGAATGCTGCACAAACCTCACTTAGATTGTTTCTAGACTCTTCTCTGCATATAATGTAATGATTACAAGCACAGAGTTTAGAATCATGCTGTTTAATACCATTTAAGCTGTTATTAGCTGTATGACCTAGTCTACTGGTCTAGGTCTGTTGACCTCTAGTCTATTTAACTAGTCTGTTGGGCTCTCTAAGCCCAGTTTCCCTATAATGGAGACAAGAGTATTTCCTATGGTGGTTGGGAAGACTAAATGAGTTAACCTATGTAAAAATCCTGCCACAAAGTGTATTATTAGCTTATGGCTTATTTTCACAAAGCAATTTTGAAGGTTGCCTCCTAGAGTTTTACCTTTTCCGCAGATTGTTTTCCGTTCAAGTAAGTAATGCATTTTGCTAAATTAGCACTTGATTCCTCCTAGCAGTTAAGTTTCACCAGCTCCACTCGCTCCACTGGGTTTCCAGTGGTGATGGTGATGGTGGTCACTGAAGGCCGTCATGCACAGGGAAGGTGCGATTTTGATTTCTTACTGTCATCTTATTTAACAGACATTTAACAGTAAGAAGTCAAGCATTTATCCTGTCTTTCCAATAGGAATTGTATCACTGGGTAACTAAATAATAAATAAGTGAACATATGTCTTTATTAAAGTGTTCCAACTAATAAATGAAAAAGAAAGGAAAAAAACTGATAAAATCAGAATATCACCATTTTTCAACCCGCAGTAATGACTAGATCTAAGCAGTGAGCATCAGTAGCTGCGGACATCACAAAAAGAAAACCAGGCAATGCCTGCTTCCTGATGAAAGAACACTCTACATGTATGGTCTTGCCAAAGGGATTGAACCTAAATCTGATCGAGTCTCTGGATTCCAATCTGCAGGAAATGCAGACGGAGGATATGCTGATTTGCACCATAAATATATGATTAACAAAATGCAGATTATGGGAAACTCTACAGATCAAATAGCCTAGGTCCTGCCACACGTAAATTGTAAGCAGAATAAAGGGATGGAGGGAGAACCTGTAGATTTAAAAAGATGTAAGAAACATATCGAATTTCAAAAATGGGTGTGAATAGGCAGGCAGGCTGGAGACCTAGAGAAGAGTTTCAATTCAAGTCCAAAGGTGGTCTGCTGGCAGACTTCTCGCAAGGAGGTCAGTCTTATTCTATTAAGATCTTCAACTGATTGGATGAGGCCCACTCATATTATGGAAGGTAATCTGCCCTACTCAAAATCTACTCATTTAAATGTTAATCTCACCTAAAAAATACTTTCACATGATTGTGAATGAATGATTGACCAAACATCTGGGTACCATGGCCTACCCAAGTTGACATATGTTTAGGAAAAACTCACTTTCTCCTCCTGTGTGTCTCTCCTTTACTCTCACACTAGGACCACACTCACAAGACTTCTGACAGCAGATGTGAAGGAGTTTCCCCACAGCAAGCAATTGCATGACACCAGCTAGGTGTCCTATAATTTAACTCAATTCTGACACTATCTACCTGGAAATAGCATGAGATTCCACAGGTTAAGAGTTCTCTCCCGCAAGACTGCCCACCTCCACTTCAGGTGCCAATTGCAAGTTCAGGTTGTTACCTGTGCTTCTGACCAATTAGCTATAAATTGAAGGTAACTACAACCTCCTCGTTGGGTTCAATTATATAATTTCCTAGAGCGGCTCACAGAACTCTGGATAACAGTTTACTTACTTTTTACCTGTTTATTATAAAAGGATATGATAGATGGTGTAGGTGAGCATCCAGACAGAGGAGATGTGTAGGGCAGGGTATGGGCTTTATCACATGGGCATGATTGACCATTACTCTATTACCAGCCCCTCTCTCCTCTCCAGAGAATGGGCGGGGGTGGGGGGGGGCGGGGGAGGGGAGGGGGGGTTGAAAATTCCAAGCCTCTACGCATGGGTTGGTCCTTCTGGCAACCAGCCCCCATCCAGGAGCTCACCAAGAGTCACCTCATTAGAACAAACAACGCTCCTATCACCCAGAAAATTCCAAGAGATTTGGGAACTCTGTGTCAAGAACTGGTATTAAAGGCCAAATATTAGAACAAAAGATGCTCCTAGTACTCTTATCACTTAGGAAATTACAAGGGTTTTAGGAGCTCTGTGCCAGGAACTGGGGGCAGAGACCAATATATATTTTTTTCTATTATTTCACAACATATAAAATTAATAACCATCACAGTATCAAATTGTGCACATTTAGATGATAAAAATGTGGTGAAACACAGGCAGTGAAACCATAAAAGTCAGGAAAGTAGTTTAATTTGAGGAGGAAGAAGGAGGTTGTAATTATAATCGCAGGGGTAGAAGGGCTTGTAGGGCGGCTGGAAAAGTTTTATGTCTTGACCTGAGTGTTGGTTGCAAGAGTATTCATCTTAAAACATTATATTTATAATGTATATTATATACTTAATTATTAGCTACATATTTCTTTGCTGTAATTTTCTTTATCTGTATTCATTTTACAATAAAAAGATTTTTTTAAGAGTTACATGTTAAAGAGAGTTTAAAGCTGTGTTAAACATTTTGAGGTTAAATGGCAGGGTATAATGAAGTAATGACCCTGGTTTTTTTTTATAGCTCCACTATCTAATTAGAAACAATTTCAAAGTTCAGCAAAGGTTTGAATAATAGTACCACTGTTTGAATAAAGATAACTTTACCTTGGTAACTACTTTTAAGTGAAAATCTGTTATTTAAATGAATAATTTCCAGAACATTTTAAAAATCATTGTGTTTGAATTACACGTGTATGTACTATTATCATGAGAATATGACACCGGGGGCATGCTATAGATTGAATATTTGTGTCCTTCCAAAACTCATATGTGGAAACCTAATCCCCAATGTGATGATATTTGGAGGTGGGGCCTTTGGAAGGTGATCAGGTCTTGAGGGTGGAACCCTCATAAATGGGATTAGTGCTCTTATAAAAGAGAACCGCAGAGTTCCTTGTCCTTTCCACCACGTGAGGCACGGTGAGGAGACCTCATCTGTGAACCAAGAACCAGGCTCTCACCAGACACTGAATCTGTCAGCCTATTGATCTTGGACTTCCAAGACTCCAGAACTCTGAGAAATAAATGTTGGTTGTTTAAGCCACCCAGTCTATGGTATCTTTGTTAGAGCAGCCCAAACGGATTAAGACAGTGGGGATTATGAAATATCACTTTGCATCTCCTTTTCTCACGTCAGAACAGCCTGGTAATGATCTCTAAACAATATTTGATTTTTTATCTTTCCCTTTCCTTAAGCTTTCCCCATCTGCTCACCTTTCTCCCACTCATCTCTTCTTCCTTCTACTCTCTCAAAATACCAGGAAGTTAACCAATGAAGTTTAAGCTTGAGAGGCCCCACTTGCCCAAGGCTCTAGTAAGGTCCCTAGACGTGTCTACATGGGTCTGTTTTTGTAAAGTCTGCAAAAGTAAGATTTTGACCACAAGTGGTTAAGACCCTCATTCCCCTTAGTTAAATGTTCACTTATATTTGGTGGCACTGAGTGGCTGCAGACATTTTTGGGATTCAGCAACAGTGAAACTAAGTTAGGGTTAACATGGAAGATTTATTGGTTTGCAATCACTTCCACATCTAGATAAGTTGTTGGTTCCTGTCCTGGTATAGGAATGGCTTCTAGGAATACTTTGCTGATTCATCCTGCGTGATGACATGAAGAGGTAGGGCTCAAGGTGACATCACTATGTGAAGATGTCTTACAGCAAAGGGTGCTGGAAGTACATGGGTATTAGGGAGGTGTACAACAGTAAGTAGAGGCTTCAGTTCTCTTTGATGCCTGGTCAGAACAAAAGGAATATTCTCAGTAATGCAGAACATGCAATTATAAATGCAAAATTTTCCCCTTTGATGAGAATCACAGAAAACAGAATTTTTCAGGATTCCTCTATTTATAACCTATGTTTATGATATTAGTCAGCTTTCCAGAAACTGTAGTCTGCTGTGATTTCTTTTCTCATTCTAAATAATCACTTTCATACCTAAAAATATACAAGGGTAGCCATAGCATATAAAACTGTTTCAATGATATTCCCAAATATATCTTCCTAATGTTTATTTTTATTTTGTCTTGTGAAATAAGAACATTTGGGCTACTTTGAGAAAGAGCAAAGAGGCATTCATCCACCAGGTCCTTTTTGGAGAGATTAAAAATGATAATGTATTTATTGCCAGTGGAGCTGTTAATGAGTTATTTTCTCTGCAAAAATGAGGCAGAGGTGATGTGCTATAATGTTCCTCTGGCCTTACTTCAGCAAAATAAAGGCACTTTATTTTTTCTTTTTACTTACTTTAAACAAAATAAAGGCACTAATTAGAACCATGCTGGGTGAACAAGGTTAATGACTAGATTTCTTATTCTTCTACCTCAGGTCACACTGAAACAAACATATTAAGAAAGAAGAAAAATAGGTACTCAAATCTAATTGAAATATATATTTCTCAAGCACATTTTAATAACGTAATTAAGTGCCTAGTCTACTTAGAGTAAAAACTACTGTTTTTCCTCAAAGGATAATTTTTATTTCAATTATAGTTTCTACCTAAAAGGCACTTTCACCATTTTCAGGGCTGCCTTTAACATTTAATACAGTGATTAAGCCTATACTTGTTGTGGTAATGAATATATATATAGGCTGCCTGAAGATCTAAGTATGAATTAAATAACTTGGCATATTGTGGATGCCTCAGGGCAAATTTCTTAAACTTCTCGTGTGAAATGGACTCTGAGCTCTGTCCAGCTATTTCCTGAAAGAGTCTGGAAACGTCAAGATCTGGCACTCCAAAAGCTGTCCAAAGTGTAGCAGCTAACTCCTGTTTTGTTATAAAACCATGCTCATCAAGATCAAAAAACTTAAATGACATTTGCAGAATCTTTTCAGTGTTGGCGGAATTGCATAGGACAGTCAGACCTATCACATACTCTCTGAGGTCTATGCTGCCCTCATTATTCCTGTCAAAGAGGGCAAAAAGTTGTCTCAAGGGCTCTTAAATTGGGAGTTTTAAATAATTTGCAAACTTCAATTTCTATCTTCCCTCCTTTTGAGGCAACTGCAATTGCAGCATATTCATCCAAATGCTGATGAATATTATCCCAATCTAACTTCAATTTCTGGCTAATTTTTGTAAATCCCACCAAACCAGCTTCCGTGGGTAGTTGAAGGTTACCTGTGGAAATCATCAGTCTGCAGTCTTCATAAGTGTGGTCTGTCACAGGCACCCCCAGAGCATTTGCCATGTTGATCCTCACTGTATTGGCAAAAAGGACCGGGTCTTTTTTTTCTTGGTCATTTGGGATATAAACAGGCATAAACTCCACTTCTACCCTGGTGAAGAGTTGACTCAGGGTCAGCATACAGGCCTGGAAGCCTGTGAAACCCTGCCAGGTCCAGGTCACCGTGTCCAGCGTGTTTGGGTACCTGAGCAGCACTGGCTGCACAGGAACACCTGGAGAGAAGGCTCCTAGTTTAAAGGTGACCAGACACGTGCGATTGGTACACACTCCTTCCGGGAAAATGAGGATCTGTGGCCACTTCCTTTCAGATGTCACTCGCCTCAGGATTTCATTCTTGGTATTCTTCCTGGAATTTGGGTCCTCTCGCGTCACAAGCACGGGCTGTGTTGACAGTAGGAGTTTCCCAGCCACAGGGATCAGCGCGTTTTGACTTGCGGAGACCACTGAGGGTAACCCTGCCACCACACAGGCGATAGCGTCAAAGAAAGTAGAGTGCGGCGCTGTCACGAAGATGGGGGCCTCGTCTCGGGTTGCCTTTTTCCCTTTCACTTTAACCAGGAACCCTGCTAAAAAGAACGTCGCCTGAAACAAGAACTTGAGGGCTGACTGCATTAGTGTTCTTCTCCAACTCTTAGCGGGCTTGGTTGGTTGAGCCGAAAGGCCCACGGTGGAAAGTATGGCCACTGGCCAGAGGAAGATGAAGAGGAAGGCGATGCAGGACACCCGAACGGGCACCAGCACACTCCCGGTGAGGATGATGTAGGCCCAGCGCCATGCGCTGATGCGCGTCTGTTGCACGAAGGGGTTGGCCACCACTGGCGGCTGCGAGGACTTGTACCTCCCCTGGCTGAGGACGGACTCCCGCACGGCCATCTCCGAGTCGGAGGACCGCTGCGCCAGGAGGTTGACTTTTCAGTGGCCTCAGGGCGTGGGTAGCTTGGATCTGTGGGCAGCGGCCCCAGAGCGCACCCCTTGCCCATATTCGAGTGCTCTTTCTGTTCTGTTCTAACATAATTAGAACTCTTAGAGGCAATTGTGGGGTAATAGGAAATGATGTACTACCTTTAAAATCAGAAAACTCAAAAAGTGGTAAATGATGTAGAGTTAGATGTAACATCTAATTGTAATGTTGAATTAGAATCATATCAACAGTACAATTTTTTTCACTTTCTGTAAATGGCCTCCTTTTGACATATATGCTTAATAAATTATTTTCACATAATTTCTGACATTTCTATTAAGCATACATTATATACCTACTAGGGATATATTCATTTAAATAGATGAATATTAATTACAACTTTTTAATTTAAATGCCATTACCAGTAAAATTTACTTACTGGGAGATACTTTGGTAGCTGGTAAGTCAAATTCATTTACTCTGCCTACAAATTGATTTCTACAGAGACAGTAACATCTCTTTATGCTAAGAGGTTTAACTGATGGCACCCTGGAGCCTTTATGTCTGTTGGAAGCACTCTTTTTACATCTGCTGAAAATTAGAGTATATCCATTATCACAGGCCAGAATTAGCCACGGCACGTTTGATGCATATTCTTGACATTAGTCCACATGAACCAATCAGCACTCCAAACTGACATAAGTAACAATAGCAAACCTTAAAATCGCCTTTGTCAGTAACAGGTTTTCGTCAAAATAAGTCAGGATTACTTTAGTGCGTCAACACACACAGTCAGTAAAGTCCTGTTCCTTTCCCTTTCGCTGCCCTTTGGAAATGATCAAGAGGGGAGCATAATCAAAGTTGGTGTGAACCAGGCTCTCTTCTATACCTTGCAGCATTTGAAACTCTGCACAATGCTGTATAGAATATTCCTGCTTGCTAATTGCTCATTTAAATTTCTTTTCCCAGAATTAAAAGTCAAATTGTAGGTTTCTGAGAGATGTTTCCATTTATTGGAGCACACTCGGTTACCAATAAAATAAGAAGAGCGTGTGGACACAAGAACCTGTTAAACAGAATGTGATCTAAGTGGAAAGGTTATGGGCTTTACGACCAGATAGATTTAGGTCAGATCCTGGTTCCCACACTTACACTGTGGGCATTGGCCAACCACATTTTCACATCTACAAATTGGTGATACGCCATACCTTGCAATGTTCGTATGAGGCACAAGTCTAATATATTTGGAAATTGGGCTTTTATTAGTAAATACAAGTTGCTAAGATACAATGATGAGAATTCTTAGGGACATTCTACTTTCTTCTGTCGCTATCAGAACTATGCTTAGTGAGGGAAACATTCCTTTCACCAACTTAGTCTTATTTGGGAACACAGTTATTGTCTCTAAGGGGCTGTGACTTGGCAATGTTACTAGTTGCCTCCCATGCCAAAGGAGAGCAACCCAAGAGAATGAGTAGTAGTCCCTTGAGCTGGTATCTTTCTCTATTTTGTAGCTCTTCCCACTCTTATTTGTGATGTTCATTACCGCTCTTGAACTCTCGTTTAACTGCATTCTGTATATGCTTCTTAAGGGAAAATTCCATATTACCATGTCATCTTTCTTTTATATTTCCACCACAGTGCCTAGCAGTGTGTCAAATATGTTAATTATTCATTAAGCAAACTTTTGAATTTCTACAATGAGCCAGGCCCTTATTCTAGATGCTGGATACATATCAGTTAATAAAACAATAAAAAATCTCTGCCCTGTGGAGCTTAGGTTCTAGTGCACACAGGAAGTACAGTATTCAATTCCTGCTTCATTGAATGGGGCAAAAGGACATTTTATCCTTTTTCTCAATCTCTCACCAATTTAGCTGGAGAATTGAGGCAAGTAATTTAACGGATGTGCTCCCCTGTTTTTCAATGTTTAATATATATACACATATATATACATATTATATATGAGAATCTCCACATCATCTCTGGTTAATCTTCCCCATATAAGTGGTAGTTATGGCCTATTTTAAGAACGTATATTCATTAATCATATTTGCCTTCAAACTAATAAATATACTATAAATCCAAAGGTTTGATAATAGAATTTTTAATGGTTAAAAAGTAGTCAAAAGAACTATTGAACTATAAAATGAAAATTTATACCATTGCAGGTTTGCCTTTTAATATAGCACAACTAACCTTTAATATACATTTGTAAAAGGCACTATATATTAACAGGATAAAGAACACAAGAAACCAAAACTGAGCCACTTTCTCCAACTTCCTTTTTGTACAAGTGTATACATTTTAAGGCAGATGCTTTTCTGTCCAAATTACAACAAAAGAAAATCAACAGTGTGTTACAAGTTCACATATTCTCAGATTTTTTTCAATACCATTTGCCAGGGTATTTATTTATGATAAAGCATATTAAAACAGTTTTTTCCTAATGAAGCTTAAAGAAGTTGGTGAACAAATTTTTAAAAATTATTTAGAGATTTCATTACAGACCCCTCATAGAAGACATAGAAAAGTCAATCTTTTTTTCTTGTTTCTTCTTTTAGAAATGTCCATATCAATTTATTCACTATGTCAGGTTGTTCTTGCTGAAGCCAATGACTGGCTTCTGACAAAATAGTTAGCCTGAAATAGTTTTTAACATAAATCTTTGTGACTTCAGCCATCTCAACTTCCATAAATGCGTCTTTCTCTCCCCACAGTAGTAGTGTTGGAATGGTCACCATGTGATGTCTAAGAGGCAGGCAGCTATAAAAACAAAACACGGGCTTGAGACTCACTGTAAAAGGTAAAATAACATCTTTCCATAATGTTCTTTTAGGCCACACATTCTCAAAGGGGGCAATATTATCACCAAAGGGGTGAAACTTGGTTGTTGACTGAGTGAAAAAATCTTACTCTTCTTATATATAAACCATGGATATACATACAGTACGTAAACAGATATTAAAATTTCATGGGGTGGGGGGCAATTAGGAAAAAAAAGTCTAAGAAGGCTCCTTAGGGAGATGATGATGAAAAATTGGTTGAGAAACACTACATTAAGCAATCAATCTATACAATAAAAAATTTAAAACGTTATTTAAGGAAGGGCCGAATAAAATTTTTAATTGGACGAGGCAAGCAAAATATATAATGAAGGCTATAAATTAAATATGAAATTCATCACTCTGTGGAATAATTTGCTTTAAAAGCAGACTGGAATTTCTGCATGATGTGATGAGAGAACTTTAAATGGTGCTACGGTTACTGTTTAAACATATTTTAAATTGTTAGATAACCTCATGCATTTTATATGAAAATTGGAATTGAAAAGGCAGAAAATATATATGAACTGAGCTTTAATATTACATGATACTATATTCACTTTGCAAGAAAATTCTTTTTAAAGCATAAAGTTATTATCATGTATTTTCTTAAATACAGAAAAGTACAAAGAATAAAATCATGCATAATTCCATCATTAAAAGGTAAACTTTTAGTCATTTTCTATGCATATGGTTGAAACCATACTATAAGTACAATGCAATAAATATATACAATTTATACACAGTATACATATGCAATTTCATATTAAATTATAACTTTAGAACTTTCTCATTTCATAAAGTTTTTCAAGAATAATTGTAAAAGATATTATTTTATGGTATAATAACCCATAAATGGCTTTACAATTCTCTTAGAATTGAATATTTAGATTATAGCATCACTTAAAACAAGGGGATGTTTTAAGTGATGCTATAACGGGCCTTTTGTGCCCAAATCTTTGTTGGCATTTCAGATCATTTCTTTGGGCTAGCGCCCTGGAAGTGAAATTTCTAGCTAAAGAGTATAAATATGTTTAAAGCTTTTGACTCCTTCTGCTACGCTGTTTTTCAGAAAGGTGGGTTAGTGTTAATTACACTCCTGTTAACTAAGAATAGAATGAGCATCTAACTAGACACTCTCCAGCACTGACTGACATTTTCGCTCGTTATCAAAAAGCTTGACTTGTGGCTACTTGGGGTTGATAGGCTGCTGCTGGAATGTGCGGGACATCACATATGATCCCATGCAAGTGGCCATCATTTGGTTGTAATGCTCCTACAAATTAAGTTCTTTGTGAATGAGTAAGCTGATAGAAAAACATATTCTATACTTAATTATTGATTCATGGATTGCTATACAAACTTGCTAGCCACTTTAATTCTAGAGCTCATAAAATATTCAAAATTAAAACATTTCCTAACAGTTATCTGCATATTTAACAATATCTGAGCATGTAATAATTGAATCAGTAAGGGGAGTTTAAAAAGACCAGTAGTCAAAAAGCAAAGAGAAATATAAATTCTTCACCCAATCAAATTGGGAATAAAAGGGAGGAGTTTCCAGAAAACTAAAAGAATATTCTCTGGTCCTGAGGTTTCAAATTGCTAAATTTTACATGAAATATAAATTACACACAAAACAAAGTATGTACAGTAGCTATAGTTAATAACATTGTATTGCATATTTGTATGTTGCTGAGAGTAGATCTTAAAAGTTCTCATTACAAGAAAAAAATTTTATAACTATGTATGGTGATGGATGTTAGACTTATTGTGGTGATCATTTCGCAATATACACAAATATCAAATCATTACGTTGTACACCTGAAATTAATATAATGTTATACATCAATTATACCACAATAAAAATAAATAAGTAAATAATAAAATAAAACAAAACAAACATTAAATATTTTAAGAGAGGTTTTAGTATGTTAAGCTGAAGAACTTATAGGGAAACACTTGATAAAATATTTCTGATTAACAATGATTAATCTTAGTAAGTATAGAAACAATTTGAAAAATCTAAAAAACTATAATAAGTAGTAACAATTATTGCTATATATTATTAATCATTTAACCAAGCAGAATGCATTTTAACATACCTATTTCAAGTAAGTCTGAATTTAACATGTTACTCCTCCAGACTCTGGGTTATCAGTTGATTTGTAAGTATTAAGGCGGCAATTTCCAGAGTGTTATTCACTCCATCATTATTTTTGCATGTGAAAATATTTCATTACTTTGATTAAAAAGATATTGTAGAAAATAATAACACACATAACCACCACTCATCTCAAGAAATAAAACACTGCAAATATAATTACATCTTTCTGCCTACTTTTTCTTTTTCTTTTTTTTTTCAGGAAGATTAGCCCTGAGCTAACATCTGCCACCAATCCTCCTCTTTGTGCCGAGGAAGACTGGCCCTGAGCTAACATCCGTGCCCATCTTCCTCTACTTTCTATGTGGGACGCCTACCACAGCATGGCTTGCCAAGCGGGGCCATGTCTGCACCTGGAATCCCAACCGGTGAACCCCGGGCCACTGAAGCAGAACGTGCGCACTTAACCACTGTGCCACCGGGCCGGCCCCTGCTTACCTTTTCTTAATACCATTTCTTTTCTTCACTTCAAAGTGTGGTCACCAGACTAGCAACATCAGCATCGCCTGTGAACTTGTTGTAAATGCCAGTTCTTGGGCCCATCCCAGACCAACTGCATCGAAAACTCTAGGGATGGGTCTGGCCATCTGGGTTTAACAAGCCCCCCCAGGTGATTCTGATACAAGCTGGAGTGAAGAACCACTGCCTTGGGAACAACGACTAGGTTGAATTTAGTTCTTACCATCCCCATGAATGTTTTTAAACTTTCATTATACGTGTTAGGATCCGTCTCCCCCATTCCTCTGGTTTCCTTAAGGGGAGATTTTCCTCAAGCCTTCCTGGATGCTTGCCCCACCGCTGGCTGGTGAGTGACAGTGGTTGGTTCAGGGTTCTGGACTAGGTGGGTCTATCAAATAATGTGTCTTGAGGGTAAGAGGTTTAATCTTTCTCCTCCTCTCTCTACCAGATTAGTGGGAGGCAGAGACCTGAGGGCTGGGGGAGGTGCAGTTTACGCTGCAATCTTGCCTACAGGTGAACTGTTCTGAAGTCTAGACTAGCGGTAGGGAGTAAGCAAGACCATTTAGTTCTTATATTAAGCTATAGCCTTCAATCTATTTTATCAACAATTAAGGTGATATTTTGGTTTTCATCTGCCGATTCTTGTTTGATTTCTCAACTAGTTCAGAAATTAGGCAGGAAAAATGGGTGCTATTTGTCAGATGCCCCCAAATACACTACATATATTTCTATAAACAGTATAGAGGTGTTTTGCATTTTTAAACTTTATTAAATAGTATCATACTGCTCATATCCTTCCATAATTAGCTTTTGTGACAACATATTTTTAAGATTTATCCATTGATGGTGCATGTAGTTCTACTTCATTCATTTTCACTCTTGTATAGAATTCCATCACGTGACTATACCACAGCTGATCCATTCTCTTGTTAATGGACATTTAAAATTTTCCAATTACTTTGATAATTCCAATAATGTTTAACCCAATCTTATACATGTCCACTTGTGCCTATGTGGAAGAGTTTCCTTACAGTATATCCCAGAAACAGAATTGCTTCCTCAGAGAGTATGCACACCTTCAACCTTACTCGATATTGTCAAGTCATTTTCCAAACTGACTGTATGCTCCACAAGCAGCATATGAGAAGTCACTTTGCTCCACATCATCGCCAACACTTGTTATCAAAAGCTGAAATTCTTTCCAATCACCTGAATGTAAAATACTCTTTGTTTACCTAATGTAGTACAGACTGCTCCCCAAAACTTCTTCCATTCCACTACAGTGATAGAAAACCAATGTTCAGCTGGACGAAGGGCCACCCAGAATAAAGACTAGCTACATTTCCCGGGCTTCTTGCAGCAAGCTGAGGATATGCGGTTTACAAGAAATTATTTGGGCATCTTTTAAGTTGTGTCCAGTATGCCCTCCCCTTCTCCTTTCCCACTTTCCACTGACTGAAATGCAGACATGGTGGACCACACAGACAAGGGCAGCACCCTAGGGAGGCAGAACAAGAAGATAGGAAGTGCCTAATCTCTGACCCAACACTGACAGACAGCTTTGTTGATTTCATGAAACAGCCACCGCACCAGCATAGACTTTTACTTCTGAAAGAAATAAATTTCTATCTTTTCTAATGTCACTCTTATTTTAGGTCTCTATTACAAGCAGTAAAACCTAGGTTCTATATCTGACTCCTAGGAAGCTTGACCATTTTTCATGCAGTTGACCGTTAGATTCTTCTTCTGTGAATTGCCTTTTCACATCCTGTACTCATTTTTCAATTGGGCTACGTTTTTCTTATTAATTTGGAGGTATTCTTTATAAACTCTAGATATTATTAATTCACGGTTGTGTATTGCAAAGAACTTCTCGCTATCTGAAGTTGTCATATCATTTTATCATATCTTTTGATATATAAATGTTTTTAATTTTAATGTAGTCAAATTTATTGGTCTCCTTCATAATTTGAGCTGTTTGTGTCATTTTAAAAATCTTTACTACCTGAGGTCATGAAAGTTTTCTCTTATATTATTTTTCAGGCATTTGAAAGTTTAGCTTATTGTATACAGGTTTTTTATTTCCCTAAAGTTTTGGGGGATTTTTTTGGTTTGGTAAAAGATAAGGATCAATTTTATTCTATATGGATATCCAATTGTTCCAAAAAAAAAAAATGTATTGATCTTTTCAAATCATTTGGTTTAAAATGCTGTCTGTCATACCAAGTTCCCATATATGTGGTTCCATTTTTGGGCTTTCCTCTTTGTTCCATTAGTCAAGTTGTCTCTCCCAGAGTCAACACCATATTCTATTTATT